AGAATGACTGACAATGCACAACACTATTTATCATTTATTTTCAAACACTGCACATTGAAGGCATCAAATTTAGCTATTTTTTTAGACATACATTCTGACTGTCATTCAAAGAAAGTTCTATAGACCAAATACAGATAAAATAGTACGAGAGAAAGAAATCATGTATGGACTGTTCAGACTTAAAATATTCATACTATAATATACCTATTGTTATTTAAATTACTTATGAGTTTGAACGTCCATTCGGTATCTATCACCTCTCTTTTAGCACATTTAAACGGATATAGTAAAACTTCGATCAAGTGCAATGGATCTACCAATATAATCAATGATAATAAGGATAAAAGGAATCGCCAAGTAAAATGTTAACAAGATTAAACAAGTAAATATTACATGAGTACAATTTGTAACGACGGGGTGTTTCGTCAGATGGACAAAATCTGGCTGACAAGTGTTTACATTCAATAAAACATTCGTAAATAAATTTGTAAAATCCATTCATTCGCTGTTGCCCAGGAAATTAATACAAGAAATACTTTATCTTTTTTCACATAAAGGTTGCAATTCTGTAAATACAGACAATGCAATTTCCCATAGGAACCCCCATTGCGTCTAAAACTGTGACACTTTTACTATGAAGTTTCGTGAAAAATAATATCCCAGAACGGAAAGTTTATATGCACTACTATTTTATTCAAAGCTCAAAATATAGGGCTGTGCGGCATATTTTCAACATTTATATGCCCTGAATTTCTATAAGTTTAAACTTATACTTTAAGTTCTATACTACCCTTACCTCCATTTTTGGACCTCCTAAGAATTAAAATTTAGCCGCTACCATGTTTTTCTATACTGGTTACATTCCCAAGTGATGTCTCTATGAGATGATACACGGAGATCATCAATGGGAACCAGTACGTTAACGAATGAACATACCTTTGAATATTAAATATCTCCCAAAAGAGGTGTGGTTTGAGAAACAGCTGTATTTACAAAGTGCAACCTATACAAACATTTATTCAAATAGAAAACTCTCTAAAAACACTTTTTCTCACAACAATACTTATTTATCAGATACATTGTATATAGTCTTAAAGAAATCACTGCACATACTCTAAGTTTCCTTTTACAGTACATTTTATACCCCTATCCCTGTTTCAATTTTTTAAAGATTTTGAAAACAAGACTCTAATTATTGCCAGCTTACCCTATGTGCATGTTTTCTGACATGAAATGTCTAAAATCTGTTTGAAACTATTCTGATAACAAATTGAAAGCATTTTAGAATACTATAAATGTATTGTTTAGTAGCTAAGCATTCCAAAATTCAAGATTATACAAAGTATCCAATCCTGCCTGTGTCTCCAGTCTACATCTTACTGTATGCCTATTTGTCAATGAAAGTTCACAATTTCTGCCTCAAATGGTCAGTTTAGAATTCTTGTTACAACAGTATCATCCCTAACCATATATCTAACATAAGTTAGTTAATATATGAACTAGAAGTGTTTAAACAAAGCCATATTTGCAAAAGTTGTATTTATGAAGATATCAGTCTTGTGCATAAATTCACTAAAAGTTTGATTGAAATGACTGCTTACATCTGATTTTTGCATAACTTCCTAACACAGCTATTGTTTACTTTACAAAAGACCTTTAAAATAAAAAAAATCATAGCATTTACAAGTTAAATTATTTGTTTAGAATTCTTGTTCCAACAGTATCATCCCTAACCATATATCTAACATAAGTTAGTTAATATATGAACTAGAAGTGTTTAAACAAAGCCATATTTGCAAAAGTTGTATTTATGAAGATATCAGTCTGGTGCATAAACATGTAAATTCACTAAAAGTTTGATTGAAATGACTGCTTACATCTGATTTATGCACAACTTCCTAGCACAGCTTTTGTTTACTTTACAAAAGACCTTTAAAATTAAAAAATCATAGCATTTACAAGTTAAATTATTTGTTTTATGACTCAGGGGTAGGCATTTTTTCGCTGTTTTTTTGCCCCTGGGGCCTCACATTTCCTAATTTTTTTCCCCGTTTCTAGCAATGTGGAATATTTACTACATATTTAGGATAGAACACACTATTGTAAGTTTTATTGAGGTCTTTTTGTAATTCTAGCTTGTACTTTTTTATGCTGCGGTCACAAACAAGCACATTTAGGCGTTACGGCTTACTTTTGGGTTATCGACAGGACAAAAACACCCCAACAAAAATATTTCGGAAGGATCAATGAGTTGCAATTACTGCGAAGAGTAAATATAAGCACTTCTAAACAATTTAAATTACAAATGGGCATATATTATGAATTAATTTTGAATTCAGGGCTTTAAATAAACCATGCATACTGTAAACTGTGAATTTATGCTGAGTCATCATAGTTAAGGCCCAGGATTTTCTCAATCTTCATGAAATATTTATAAAACTTCATATTTGAGTTAAATTCTTTAAAATCTCAGAGATAAACCAGATTTTGTGAAATTCTGTATGTTCTATTTTTTAACCCTATATAGGTTGCAATTCTGTAAATACAGACAATGCAATTTCCCATAGAAACTCCCTTTGCGGCTAAAACTTTTACTATGAAGTTTCGTGAAAAATAATATCCCAGAACGGAAAGTTTATATGCACTACTATTTAATTCAAAGGTCAAAATATAGGGCATTGCGGCATATTTTCAACATGTATATGCCCTGAACTTCTAAGAGTTTAAACTTATACTAAAATTCCATACTACTCTTACCTCCATTTTTGGACCTCCTAAAAATTACAATTTAGCTGCTACCATGTTTTTCTATAATGGTTATATTCCCAAGTGATGTCTCTATGAGATGAAACACAGAGATCATCAATGGGAACCAGTACGTTAACAAATTAACATACTTATGAATATTAAATATCTCCCAAAAAGAGGCGTGGTTTGAGAAACAGCTGTATTTACAAAGTGCAACCTATAGGCATGAACGAAAGTTGAGAGTTCAGCCATTTTAAATTTTCACCACAATATAAATAAATACAAATACCCAAAACTCAATTTACAAAAATATTTTATTAATCCTAAACACATACAGTCGCCGATACATTTTAAAAGCTATTGTTTTAACATGATGTAATCATTTGCTTTTTAAATTACATTCTAGCTTTTTTCCGAAAGACATTGGCATTTTCTATAAATTCTTTAGACGCACGCTTTGTTATATTAAAGGAAAATTAAAAACAAAAATAATATCTTAAAATATTCTAAATGGTATAATCATGATAATACGGAATATAAATACATTTTGTCTGATAATACAAATAAAACAATTTCAAACCAAAACTTCTATTATAGAAATAGGCAGAGGTTGGATAAAGGTTAATGAAAGAATAAAAAAAAATCATTATAAATAAATAGGGAGGCAACCAGACTAACCTATGACCTTCAGTATTATATAAATATAGATTCTGCACCCACAAATGTTCATTGATCACAAGAGTTATCCACTCGAAGATTTTCATACTGTCATATGTGCGAGATTTACCAAGGATTTTGATCTTTTCAAATAAAAAATCGTGAGTCAATTAATTTTGAAGTAGTAAATTTAGTTTTTATAGTGTTTCATTGGAAAACGTCGAATGCATTATTCCAAATATGTATCGCATGACATAAAATACGACAATTTAATCAATATATATCAAATATGGTCAATATTGTCAGAACTGGTTTAATCTATAGTTTTTCAGGAAAGTCTAGACATAAACTATTGAATATATAATAACTGAAAGCTTAAAAGCAACACTTTAGCCTGCCTTTGTTTTTTACATTATGTTGATGGGTTATAAATTATCTTTAGAAAAACATATATCTTTTAAAATTTCCTTTTTATCTGCATACTTTTATCCTTCCTAGCCGATAGATAACATTAACTTGATATACTAAAAAGATAACACTGTAGGATCAAAACACAATTTTTATTAGTTTTAATGTTTTACCAGAAGAAAAACAAGGTATGTTTTGTGTTAATGGTTTTCTTGATTTTTCTAACTACACATAAACAAATGGTTAAAACATGTTTTTTTTATATCTTTCAAAAAGACAAATTAAGGTAGCTGGGGTGAATTAGAAATTATAGCAGATAACAATAGGCAAAGATCTTTAATTAAAGGTGCAAATTTCGAGAGTAGTATGTAGTTCATGTGTGAGACTTTTCATGATAATATCGAAAACAAAATTTTCGTTTATTCATTTCTTTCCAACTTTGCCATATAAGGGAAGATAACTCATATAAAGTAACTAATATAATAGAATGTGTTATAAATTTACGTTTTTTTTTATATAGTAAGAAAACTAGTCCCCTAGCAATGTGGAATATTTACTACATATTTTTATCTTTTTCTTGTTTGACATCATAGTATAAGAGTTATCTTCTCATATGTTATCTTAACATTCTATGGTTTAGCTATGAATGATTCGTTCATTGTTGAAGACCCTACCCCAGCAAACACACAACATTTTAAAAACATTTTTTAAATGTCATATGGACGTCTCTCACAAAATATTTCAATAAGATATCATTTAAACATAAAAACAATGTTTATTTTATTGTTTTTGAAATGTTTTATTTCTAACATTTAGGTAAAATGTTTTTACAACATTAACAAAATATTATTTGCTAATATCTTTTATTCATGTTCTCAAACATTGTTCTAAAATATCCCGTAGATATTTTATAATATAAAAAAAATAATATTTTCTTCAATTGGTATTTTATATTTTAACAACATTTAGAGTAAATATTTTCCAAATATCCAAAAAACATTCTGCAAAAAAATGTTTTACAGAAAATATAGTTTTGCTATTTGCATAAAATGTTTTATAACGTAAAATTAAAATGTTTTACATAAAACATCTGAAAAATATCAGCTAAATGTTTTCTATAAAATATTCTGACATACACATTACTTAATAGTCTTACTGATTTTTATTCAACATTTTACGGATATAAAAATAACATTTTATTTAAACTTTATTCAAAACCCCACAAACAACGTTTTGTGGAATTAGCTCGTTTTTTTTTCAGGATAAGATAAAGTACTACATTTCATTAATATCATGACAAGCAAGATACTATGGTTGAAATCCTTAATTGATATCTTGAAGATCCTTGAAGTCAGATTTTATTCCTTCTTATATTAAAATTCAAAAGAGTCAACATTAAATTAAGCAATAATGTATTAATAAACAATCACCGTTCTTTAATGTTTATTCATTTCGTTCGTGTATATTTTAGAAATTAAGAAATGAAAACTGTAACTGTACTAAGTTCAATTTTCGTATCGTTTATATGCCTTACGGAAAACCGACCTTTTCCGGAATCGACTTTTGTTTTATCACCGGAAATGATTTTGAAATTTGAATTTCGAAACGAAGACAGGATATCAACAAAGAGAGCCAAGAAAATTGTTTGTTACGCGATATATACTCACTTGGTAAGAATGATTAATCTGTTAAGATGAAACTTGTGCATTCATTATGTGTGTTCAATCATAATCGGAACCAAATTACATCTGTTTCTGGAGGTGCGGATCAAGGTTTTGAAAAAAAGGGGGCCCCTGCCCAAGGCAAGCAAACGTTTGGAGTGATACTTGTAAATAGTCTATACATTTATCTTATAAGTAGCTCCATAAGGGGATCGGGGCCCCTAAATCCGCCACTGTTCAAGCATCTACGTACACTTATTATGAATTTGTTCATTCAATTATTGATATAAATAAAAAAATTATAAGGATATGTGGCTTGTGTGTTTGATTGCCAATACACCTTATCGCTATTTGTCCGCCATTACTGGCCATGGACATCACAAAAGTTCCCGTAAAATGTTGACGTCATATTAGAAAATATTTGACACCACAATTGAAAGTAATACACCTTATCACTATTTGTCCGCCATTACTTGACATCACACAACTGTCACAAGTTCCCTTAAAATTTTGACATCACCATAAAAAATATCTGATGCCACAATGGAAAAGTGATTGTTGTTTGACGTCAAAAGTTCAAGCAGGATAGATTCTCGGGTCAAGCGGGAATAGCGATAAGGTGTATTATTGTATGACGTATGCTGACGTAAAAAGTTCAAGCGGGACAGATTTCCAAATACTGAAATAGCGATAAGGTGTATGAGACAGCTATCCACCAGAATTTAAATGACTTGGATAAAAGAAATAATAGGTCACTGTACGGCTTTCAAAACTGAGAAAACCAATGCCATATAGTCCACTTTGAAGCCTTGACAAACAAATGTTAAATTTTTCTCAACACAATTGAAACAAAACAACTAACTGCCTACATTAAATACATACATGTATTATGAAAAAGAAATTTGACAGACTTAAACCAACGACAACTATTGCAATAAGCATGACTCAATACCTTGTTTCCGAGGCACACAAACAAGTTACAATAGCACTAATATAAGCACCATTTGAATATGGAGATTTTTTTTCTAGTAAAATCAGTGTATGTTTGTATTTGCAAAACAGTAAATTAAATTTCCCTTAACAGCTTAATGAACATTACAAAGACTATGTAAGACTTCAGCACAAGCAAGATAATATAAACTGTTGCTTAAAATTATATTTATTGCTTCATACACACAATGTACATACAATGTATCTTTTATTTTTTAACAGGAGCTAAAAGAAAAGCCACAAAGGACAAGTTCAATATGCAGCTTTACAATTTGGAAGTGGCGCAGGTTCTTTGAAATGTCTACAACCTTTCAGGAGAATTTTTTTTTGAAGTAAGATTTTCATGCAGGATTACTGTTATTCCATATTTAATTCAAATATTTAGCATAAACAATGCATTACATTCAAGATTAAGGGCATACAATACAGAAAAGATATCTGGATATTTGAATAAATTATTTTTTTTGTGACAAAATAGAAAAAAGTTGTTTATTTAAATCAATCTTTTAGTCCAACAGTGTGCTTTCATAAACATATTTGCTTTCCTTTGAAGTATTTCAAATACATACATGTATAAACAACTCATTTAATGACATCTGTGTGTTTCTCGGAAGTTAAGTTATATTATTATCATCATTGCGAAAACAATGCGTAACACTTCGATAAGTTATTATGTGCCTATAGTATACTTCTAGGACTGTATCATATGCCCTTAGATACAAATGACAAGTTATAAACTATGTCACTCTACAGAGTTTAACACTTAAAATGGACAATAAGATGTTTAATGACATTATGTAGCAGGGCTTTTAAAGGCCCTTACACGATACAATGCATTTAATGAAAACTAAAAAAAAACAAGAAAAACAACAGCCTGATTTATACAAAACAATAAAAGAAAAAAAAAATATGATAAGACAACAATCAACGAGTATAATGAAATAAGACTCTGGACTGGACACATATCTAGTCTAAAGTTTTTTATGTGTTTTTTTCTAATAACTAAATGAAGTTCAGCGTGGCATATTGCTCTCTCTTAACACGGTCAGCCATTTATCGTCCCCTTCCGACAGACTATCATCGTTATTTGTTTCAAAACTTTAAAGGGGAGGGGATGTATATCCTTCAGGCAACGTGAATCGTTCTATAATAAAGGAATGTGCAAGAAGTTCATATATGAATGTAAGATTAATTTTTTTTTTCAGAAGCATGGCACAGCAAGAAAAAGATATAAGACACTACAAGACATTCCAAGTGATTTTGAATAAGACAATTGATTGACTTTTTCAATGTATTCTTAAATAAATCAAATAGTTGATGTAAAATGGTGTTTTGTTCTCATCTGTTCAGCCAATTATCAATGATTATTGACTTAAGATGTAACCCTATTAGAAGTGTAGCGTTTTAGTTTAGAAAGAGAAGTTGTATTGAAAAATCTCAATTTGGGACACAAGTTTTAGTCAATGTAACTTGAACTTAAAAATGTGTATAATGTTTGCATAATGTCCAATGGCATATATGTCATGCATGTTCAGGTTGACATATGCATGATGTGTATAAGATAGGTAATAAAAGTTGAGAGTGAAAAACTAAACATTATACCATTGTGGTTGGAATGTGGGCTTTCTTGCACTGTCTGTCGTCTGTCCACCTATATTTGTCGGATTTTGTCCAACAAATATTTTCATCAAGTGCTGTTTTTCCCAAAACTGCTGATAAAGATGAGTTCATATTTAATGAGCTGCTTGATAGTGATGAACTGTGATGTGTGAACATTTTTGTATCTGGCACCTGTTTCCTGTTTTCTTATACTTTGTATTTCAAAATGTTGAATGTTCTCAAATTTTTCATTACTTTAATTAGTAATGCTGATGAACAGAATGACTTCATATTTGGTAAGTGGCTTGGCCATGATGAGTTGTGTCTGCCATTTTAGATGTGTCAAAATTTGTAGATACTTCTTGTTTTTAGAGACTTTGAATTGTGAATTTCATATGCATAGCAAAACAACTGATTTATTCTTGTTTGTATATAGAATTAATCACTGTGTATAAATTAATTTAACTAATGATTTGTTATTTAAAAAAGCAGGAAACTCAATTAAAAGTACAGACATTTTTTTATTGATATGATCTAGATATCAACCAAAAACATCTTCTTAAAACATTTTGAAAACATTTTTTAGGCACAGTCTCACTTGCAAGAAAACATCCAAAAAACATTTTTATAACATTATTTGATGTTCATGATATTTTTCAAACGTTCAGAAAATATTTCTAGAAAATATTTTTTAAAAGATTATCAAAATGTTTTATATGCCATTGTTTTTCACATTATCATGATATTTCTTTACAACATTTTAATTATATTATGCAAATATTTTAGAAAATATATTAGAAAACGTTTTCGCGATATATATTCTACCATACATTTAATGTTTTTCTCACGTTTATTTGTGATATTTTCATGACATTAGACACAACATTTTAAAAACATTTTAAAGATGTTTTTGTGTTTGCTGGGACATCAACTGTCAAGATGAAGAACAGGAATAAAAGCCCCTTCATTGATAATTTTCTATGTTTTCTATGTATTGTGTGCGATTTTGTCCCATGTACATTTACTCCATATCCTTTCATTTTCTTTATATTACACAAAATTGGGTTCTTCATGCAAAATCTATACAAAATCTGACAATTGTCACAATCTGTAGCATGAAAAAAGCCCGGTGACCTACACTTTCATTATATTTTTGATAAAAAGAATGATATTAAAACATTCTATGGATTTTAATTTGTTCATTACGCATGTTGTGTGTACCTGTCATTTCCTGTTCCTGTAATGTTTGTTTTAAGTTCTAATTCCCAAATAATAAGGCCTTTCATAACTGATTCAGTGAAGTTACATTATTTGGCAAATTACAGATTCTTTTCATTAGAAAAGGGTCAGCGATATTATCATTTTGTTATATAGCTGTTCGTAGAAACATAAGACAAGGACATAAAAAGGACGGTAATATTCATCCTAAGTACCAGTCTTTGTAAGAATCGGGCAATTTAGAAGAATTTCAAAACATGGCCTGAAAAAAAAAAACGTTACCCTCGTCCTGAATTAGAAATGGTAGTTCATGCGTTTCTATGTGGCTGGTAATTTGTGAAATCTCTAGAAAACTTTTGGTTAGAATGATAGCAAATTACGGCGTTAGCTTTACTTAATTTTTGATTTTTTGTGCATTTAATTATTTTAAACCAAATTATATCTTGAAGTATCAGAATAGGAAAAGGAAACGAAAGTAATTTTTGTGCACCATTATACATTTTGAACATAAATTAATTTAAACTTGAGTGGGTTTTTGTTTGTCATGTTTTAACCACTGCCTGATTCTTAAACAGATTGGCACTTAATTTATTTGTTCAGGAGTATCATTTCTAGATAAATAGACATAATGAACGACAGACCTGCACGTTGACATTTATCATCAAAAGCTTACAAATATGTATAACATGTATAAGCTTCATAAATTAAAAAAAAACAGCTTACACATGTTAATATTTAATCATTTTTACTGCTGCTTCGTGCTTCAAAACAGCAATTTGAAGTTATATCCTTTTTTGAAGTATTGTTCTAATTTTGTTCAAAATAAAAAAAAGGTTCTCTCACTCGGTAACCTTCATTTATCTTTACATGTATCAATGTTTTAGTACTTTGGTATTTATGGTTGATTTCTGTTCAAACTATCTATAATTTTTTGAACACGATATCGGTTTTCAGCTTGATATTAATATATAGACCTGTAGACGGTTTTATTACTCCCTCATTGATGATAACGCTACGTCTGTTTTTATTCATATACACTGAAATTGATCTCATGTGTGTTTCCAAATAAATAATCATACTTTTGACCTAATTGTGATTGGATCATATCTTCTTATTTAACCTTTGGTATAATTGCCAATGAGAAAACCAGAGTGCAAATGATATAGATTTCAGCATATACAGGTCTTCAGACGACCTTCCATAATGATAAAAAATTATACCGTATAGTCAGCTATAAAAGTTCCTGACAAAATGTGAAGCAATTCATTGAAAAAAACTAGCGGCCTTATTTATGACAAACTAAATATGGCAGACAGCAACCTACAACAACCACTGACTTTGAATAGGCATAAAGAATGTAGCCGTGTTTAATATGTTAGGAAGATGGGACAATGGTGTAACAGTACAACATAAGCCATTTACTCATGAGTTGAGTAATTTCTAATTGAGTGTTACAGGCTTTAAATCATCTGTGTGAAATGTGAAAATTAACCTATGGCGCATGCGTTCTAGGTTTGTTCAGTTTTACCCAACGTTTTGTCATCTTTCATTGTGGAGATTTTAATGAAGTTGAGTTATTTGGTCTCTTATTTGTCTTTTCGCATGTTTAATAACACTGTGCATCTTAAATTGTAATCATTATTTTTTCGATTCAGCAACATTTTAGTTTTTGTAATGCATCTGTCGTTTTTTTTTTTTATTTTACATATGACTCATATCGTTGGTACTCTGAATAAATATAACACGTTGATGGGTAAAGGTGTTAAATTTGAGATATTAGATTTGTATTATAAATTCCTTTTAACATTTACCCAATTCAGACATTTGTACGTGTAAATTTGATCTAGAGTAGATTACCTTTAGTTGTGGAAGCACTTGTTTAATGAACTATTTTTCAAAACACGAAAAATTGTTTAAATTTGTTTTTTAGGAAGTACATATATTATAATTTTGACCAATTTGGGTATTGTTTCAGCTAAAATATTTTTTTAAGCACTCCAGAGACATTTGTATACCGTACTGGCTCTTTTTTCACAGAGGATGAATTTTCAAAAAATAATATGGAAAGGTGAATTAGTAAGCTACTTCTTAAATGCCAAAATTCAAAAGGTTCACAAAAAGTTAGGTTTTGACTGTGTGAAGTCTGGTTCAGGAAAATAAGTTTTATCTTTGTTGATGGAGGAAAGGAAAATGAATAAGCAAATTATAATTATTTTTAAAAAATATGTTTTGCCTTGGGAGAAATATTCTGTTGAATGTGGAATGTTTTTAAAAAACCTAGTGTTTCGCTTTGAAATCTATAATCAGAAAATCAGTTATAACTTAAGATTTCTGTTACAAGATACAAATTTATAAAACCTGTGGTATACCTTCAAAAGTTCTTTTGTACATCTTATTAATTAATTAAAGTACGTTCATTATTGTCTGAAAAGTTTATTGTATTATGTTACATGTATAATATGGGGACCAATCATATAGGTATGCCACACTTATTTTAGATAGAGGGGCATCTTTTTATATGTCCGAACCTCCATTTTTCAGCCCGTATGTCTCATAAAGACTTATGTGTTCGTATATTATGAGGAGATTCTCTGTAAACATATTGTAGTATGTATTTAGATAGTTTTTGTTCAAGGCAGGTTACACAATTGATTTAAAATATGTTGCGGTCAACATCAACATAAAACGTATGGTACATATCTTCGTTATTTAGATATAACTGTTTTGAACGTATATATTTTCAAATAACATGTTTGACCATGAAAACACTAACCACAACCACGAATTGTGAGTGCAAATAGGGTATGGTATACTATAGACACATGTATTTCTGTTTGCTTATATCAGAGATAGTATTGCTGCATTTGAGTTTTGTTTCTGCAATTAATTCAAAACATATGTTGTAAATTTCTTCAGACATGTCTTAGGACATAATATGTGTATATACGGTTTGGACTCTCTGCAATATTAAATTGTTATATAGCAGAAAACAATCGTTCTAGCTTATTTATGAATAAGAAAAGAGGCAAACGATACCAATGGGGCATTCAAACTCATCAGTCGACAAAAAACTTACAACACCATTTAAAACAATAAAAAGGAAAGACCAAAAGACAATCAACAGTATACAAAACACATAACATAAAAAATAAAGACTGAGCAACACGAAACCTACCAAAATACAGGAGTGATATCAGGTGCTCTGAACGGAGGGGCAGATCCTGCTCAACATATGGCACCCATCGTGTTGCTCATGTAATTACAAACTCGGTGACAAGTCTTATTCGGTTGGTCACATTTGGGGAAAAGGGGGCGGGATTGTGGTTACGACAATTGGAACATATCCGTCAACCAATTAGTCATGGCGTCCGCAAAATTTACAAAGGGATGATTTCAACTTCACCACTTGAAACTCTTGGTTTAATAGCTTCCTTGTGAGCAATGTGCAAATGCTATTTATTTGTGAATGTATTCAATAGTATGTAATGTATTGTATTATTACAACTGTTCGTACTGATATAAAATACCTTTTTAAATCAAATATTGTGTAACTTTAAAGGGGAGATAACTCCTATAGTTTTATTTTAGAAAGGAATTTATAAAAACTATTTTGTTTCGTAGCAAATAAATGAGTTCAGTGACTCCAAGTTGTTTTTGTTTGTATTTTCTTATAGCACATTATAAGAAACTTTGTCACATTTCATTAAATGTGCAATCGTGTATTTTTTTTTTTTTTTTTTTTTTTTTACTATTCACACACAAGTGTTTTTTTCTATTTATAATCTTGAAAAATGTTTGGCACAACCTGTATCTTATAAAATAGCCAAAATGACAATTAATTCGAACATATATGATACAAACTACATTTTAATGATTTTGTAAAAGTATCAGTTAAAATATATCGTTTAAAATTTATAATTCCGTCTACCGTCAGTCATATATAAAAATAATAGTTCAGGTTACCATTGATACATTGATACGAACTGCTATTTTACTAGATACATATGATATACATTTTGCGATCTCAAGAAACAACTTCATAACTGTTTAGATGATGTAAAAACTCATCAAATATACAACGCTTAGCCAGACGCGAGCTTCGTTTACAACAGACTCGTCATTGATTCTCGAATCAAAACTGTTTGAAGGCCAAAGTGGTTCATAAAGGTAATGCAATAGTTTTGAAAATATAAATGTAGACACTTATAATATATCTAGTTTTTCTAAAAATAATCATAGATTGAGTTAAACTTAGTGCTAGTAAGCTGTAGAAATACTATGTGTATTTTTGTAGGTTCAGATAGTCTTTGAAGATAGTATGCTACTCTGCCCACACGGAAGACACTGGGGCCATAGAAAAGGGGTATGTTAATTTTTGACGTTTTACTGGACAGATGAGGGGGGAGTTGAAACTATGACTGTTACTTTCGGGAGTTCAGTATTTTTGACAACATAACATGAATAATAAACAAAAAAGTAACACATAGAAATGAGTCGATAGGACACAATGCAACCTCTCCCACAA